CTCGAAAATTTTGACGAAAACAATACTTTCTCCATATACTATGGTATAGGGGGAGAAAGTAAAAAGAGAAAAGAGAAGATGTGCTGTTTGGTATTTTTATAATTGCTATCATATGTTGCATATTTGATGTTTGTTTTTATTGTATTGTTGTTTTGAGCTTGAAGACTTACTTTTGGGATCTTGGCTAATAAAGTATCTATGTTTAACTGTGGTGTGAGTTTTACCTTTCACTTCACATTCCAATCCACGAAATACATGCACAGCTTTATGTGATCTATATGGCCAAGGCAAAACTACCCCATAAGTTAATGAATTATCAAGTAAGAACAGGATGATTACATACATGGGTCGATGTGGCAAGAGAAGGATTTAAAATTGCTGAGATCGAAGTAAGAATGTTACTGCTTTCTGGAGAATCAGATATTTTTATCAAAAAAAAAAGATGAAGATTTACATCTTTTAAGATAAATCCGGATACAATCTGAATGATTTTCCTGAAGCAAATGGAATTAGTGGTTAGTAATAAATATTGACTCTTTCCGTAACATGATAGACTAATTATATGAACTCATTCTCCCATATAGTTTTGAAAGTGGCTTTGGTATGAAACAAACTCATGAACAAACAATTAAAAGACTCCTAAAAAACCTTTTGGGCAACCTAAAGCCGATAAAAAGAAAGGTAGGAAATATTGTGTTAAACGAATTCATCAATCACGTTTTTTAGGGAACACAATCGTCATGGGCCTACTTATTATTGTATTGCTCATCCTCCCTTCATATAACTAAGATTTTAGTGACTCAATTTAAAATGCCAATACTGTACCACTGCCGTGATTTAAATTGTGTATACGCTGTTGTTTTTTGACTGGATGAGATTTTATTCCAACCTGAGTAACAGAAGAGTTCACTTTATATTTTTAACGATATTCTTTCTTTCTATGTTGACATAGCTGAAATTGATATTGTATAAAAATATATGGTACAAACTTTACTCAAGGATTAGTAGACTGTTTTCGTTCTCGTGCTATTTTCTATCTAGAATTTCTTGAGTGAATTTTATGGAAAATCCTAATTGTTTTTTTTTTGTTTGGTAAAACATCGGCCCAGTAACACTTCGGCCCAGTAACATTTCGGCCCAGAAACATTTTGGCCCAACTCTAATTTCATCGAAAAACAGTAACACTTCGTTCCATCCGCTTTTAGAGTTGATCTAATAAGCTAAATAAGTAACGTTTCGGCCCGTCGAAAAATTGGATGAAAGCAGTTCAGGTAGTCGGCCCATGACCTGTATACTTTGCAGCCTACAAGTAACCTGACCTATCCTAACCTTACATGACCTGACCTAACCTAAACACACCTAAACCTACCTAACCTAACACAGTTTTTGGCGAGTTAATTTTAATCTATTGTCTTTTGTTAGTTTTTAAGTTTTGTTAAATTACTATCCTCACAAGGTAAGACCTGTCAAATATTTTTTGGACGAAGTGTTACTAGTGGAGAGTTGTTCCACAGGCCACATCTGAGGATTTTGGGTCTCAATTTTCCTTGGGCCGATGTGCTACGAAACGGTTTTTCGTTAATGTAACAGTGGTTTAAAAATTTTTACTACCGGGTTTATTATTGAAGTCTCTTTAGGCTCTCTTTCAACTCCAGTTGGATCCCCCATCAGGTCACAAAGTGTCAATTTTCACTAAATTAATATATCAGTTATATTTCCTACAAGAAATTTGGAGCTAACACGAAACCAATTGTTTTATATTACAGAAAGTCAAGCCATTTTAGAGTGAAATTAAGAATACGTATACTCTATCGTTTCAAAAATTTAACTATAAAATCTGACAAATTACCAGACTAATAGCCTACTACAATCAAAATCGTGTCAATGTCATCAATAATCACAATACAACCTTAACATAGCAAAAATAAAGAGACAGGTTATGGTTCTTTGACTACAGGTGTATTAAGTCGTCAAGTTTTATCTCGTTTGGTTTCAATTAAGGAAATTGACTGGAAATAAAATTAGGATTAAGTCACAATTTGCATAATCCAATTCTGAAGCACAAGGTGGATGGGAGTAATCAGAGGAATTTGATACTCAAGCGCCAAAATTGCACCAATCAACATTAGACTGCCACAGAGAAGTACTCTAGATACTGATTGCTCCTCTTTGACTGGTTTAATACAGGTATTCTTAATTACAACACATGTCGTTGACTTTATTGATGTAATCTAACGTAATTCGAATCCTGTAACAAACATCTAGCCTAAATATATGAATAGAAAGTTAAACTGTTACAGTATAAAATGTTAAAATTTATTAAATAACAATATTAAATATCCCAACTAATACCATGAATACTAATATTATGAATTGCAATCAGTATTTTCAAGGTATTAATATAGCCTATTAAAAATTATTTAATCTATTTAATGGTTGTAATATATCTTATACCAACTTTTTTTAATTTTTGAGCATCATAAACGCTAAAACTTTGGGTTTATAATCAAACTGGTTTCAACAAAAAGACTTTTTTTAATCATCGTAGATATTTAAAAATACTTGACATTTCATTATGAGTTTTAATAAAAACAACACAATGTTTAAAACACCTCTGTATTGTATTCTTATTGTTAAAAAGGAGTTGAATTAAATTCGATTGCAGTCTACACCACGTTACACCTTTGTCAGGTACAAACCTTTATTCATCAATGAGTTCATTGTCTCCCAACAATACCAAACATCAAAATAACTCATTATCAGGAGTACATTTGATGCATTGTATACGAGATAAATTAATTAATCCTTTAGTTACATTATTGTGAATTGTAACAACATAATTACATTATTGACTAATTAACAATTCAACTTTATTCAGTATGTGAATAATGGTAGTAAATGAATAAATTGTCAACCGACGTTGTGATAATGGTTCTCGGGAAAATATTCCAAAGTTAACAGTTGCGCTGGTATCGGGGTCGTGCTTTCTGTTATCGCGTAACTACTAAACATTGCACGTTGATATAGTTTGAAGCAAAGTGTGTTACATTTACTCTCTGAATGGCCGTATTTTCTTCTAATTTTACACATTAATGAATTTAATTATCGACCAATCACTTATTTGTATTTGAATGTAAAATTAACTACAGTGTAATAACTATGTTTTTTACAAAAGCTTTTCAAGCTCTCACGAGCTAAGAATTACATTCAAATTCAAATATATTTATTTGTGATAATACAACATCTTGGCCTCGCCAAGTTTACAAAACTTGTCGGCGAGGTCCAATTGATTCACAAAAATTAACAAACAAAATTTAATTTTTTTTTTCTTTTTAACAAATATAAATATTTCTAGCGCTACTAATTCCATGGCGGTTTGTGGCAGGCACCTATCTATACATAATAATGGCAGCAGAAATGTAAAATTCTAAATATAGTTTGAAAAATTGCTTTTCATCTATCTGTTTTATAATCAATGCTTTATTCCGAAGTCTTTGTTCTCCTGGTTCATAGAACAGGGGTTTCTAAATATTGAAGAGGCAGTGTCTAACTGGAAAAAGCATATTTCGTTTGTATCTTGTTTCTTGAACGTTTGATGAATTAAATCATAACCTCTCACTAAGAAAAGTTATGCCCATGCAGGCATTTATTTACACAAAACGGAAAAAAAAACTAATATGTTTGAGAAGCTTTCTTAGATATTTTCTTCCCTAATAGATGTCTTTTGTACTGTGTTCCTGATGTGGTGGGTTTTGTGTGTGTTTGTAAAAATTGTATTTAACAGTGTTGTAATTGTGTGCCCTAGCAAACACAACACAACCTTTAACATAGTCTAAGTTGTGTTCAATGGAATCTGTCACCAAACGAAAACTGAGACATACAAAAATCTCTGGACAAAACATATCCAACTTTTACATCCAGAGAAGTTTTTAGAAACGTGAACAATTCTTTACTAGAATATATCCGTGTTTTGGTTTTCTCGCAACTTTCAAACTTTTCGAAGCCCTTGGTTAGTTGAACAGGTGTGGGATTATATCTGTTCAATACTTTTACTTTCTTCTGATGAAAATAGTGTCAAGTTATATAGATTTATTCTCAGCCTTCCATTATCAAGAGTCACCCATAAAACTGAGAATCAATTTTGTATTTTAATACATCTTTTCGGATTTATTTTCGATTTAAACCCTCCCAGTCCACTCCTTATCTCCTACAAGATTTTTTCTTATTGTTGACATATTTAAGTTAAATGTTGAACTGGATTATTATTTCGTTCTGCTACAACTCGGTAAAAATAATACACTGTGGTGTTTTCTGTTTATAAGAAAGCTGGATGGCATAGTAGTTATAGTGCTCGTCAAACCTTGGATATTAAACCCAGAGAAAGGTCATTATAGGCGTTTTGATGACTCAAAACGGGACCCTGTTGTAATTAATTGTGGGTTTATAACAAATTATCCTGCCTAAAAGGACATCTTATGTTCAGTCAAGCTACTTTAATAATTTAATACTTTTATTTGAAATGCCGACCATACGAATATAATATATTTTACGAGTTTAAGAAAATTATGAATGGAGATGAGTGTAGGATGAGTGGTGCGATTTTAGTCTTGTTACTGACTCCGACATGTCCTAGACAAGACTGTTAATTAATAGCCCAAACAGCCAATGGCAACTAAGTGACCTACAGTTTATAGTGGAATCCGAACCACTTCTACCTTGTAATTTTACGAATTGGTCTAATTGGATAGCTCTGCACCCAGTCGTAGTATTCCCTAGCGTGGACGTTAATCCACACCAGGAAGTATCACATCCATCATGCCTATAAATATCCACAATTCGTCCACAGATCATCCACTTTATCCTACACTTACCCTGCATCCAAAGTTCGTTGGTACTTTCTTGGTAAGTAATTGATAAGTGATTTCGGATATTTTACGATGAAATGAAACACGTTTTCCCAGTTCTGTCACACCCTGTTGATCGTGAACCTGATGTTTCAGATGGACGACTCTGTCAGCTGGTTGTCGCCTTCGGACTCCGGCCACACATCTCTTGAGGACTCCTACATTGTTGGTGTGCTAATCGGAAGGTAACATACAATACGGAGTTTACATAGGATGTAGTTGAATCAAACGTATGTTTCAACAATTGCTACCTCTAGATGTAACTATACAAATTAACCGTTGATTTTGTGAGGGAACTGATTGTGATTTATCTTAAATCAGTAAAAGTATCCACTTAGTTAACATAAACACTGAAAAATAGTCCATAGTCCGGTTATACAGGATATAGGTACTATAGCACCAATACACCAAAACAATTTGGAAATCTCTATCTCATACCTACCTAAAAAGAGCTCAGTACCTATTAACACTTACCATATTGGAAAATGTTTCCACTCTCTAAAAGATTATTTAACACTATTTTCCATTTGGAAATTCTCTCGGCCTTAAGTAATTGTGTTTTGCGTTGTTTTCTTGAACCTAATATAATAAAACAATAAAACTTTAAAAACTCATAATTTATTAGTATAATGGTCTTTCAATTTTATGTTTGGCAGTTTGATATGTGATTCATCCTTTAAATAGAATGAAAGTTTACTTTGTGCAACAGGATTAAATGTGCTCAGCTAAGTCAAAACAATGTGTCAACTTCAGCTTCACCCACAATGGCACAAAACTTAGTCAACTCCTCGCCTGAGAAATACTGTCACTATTGTGTAGTTTCTACCATTAAGATTATACAGTAATGCCAACCCAACGATAACCACACGACTCAACCATACTATTATGGTATTATGGCTATACCATAATACCATAACCATAACCCATAGCCATGCGACTCAACCATAATAGGTGGCAACCACACTCTCTCGAGCTCTCGAGTAATAAGATAACTGAGATACGTAAGAAAACTAAAATAACTGAGAAATGGGAATTAAAGGTTACGATATCTTGCCCCACCTTGTGTTAAAAGAATTCGAGACAAAAGCCTGAAAAACCATACTTAACGTAGGCTTACTGACATACTACATACTAGTATTTGCTCCGTTATTTATTGTTTATCCCAAACTGCGAATAACGCCATCTAGTGTTTTGTTAGCAAACACAACGGCGTAGAAAAGCAAAATATTTTTGCATCAACAGAATTATATGGGTACAGTTTGTAATAATTTAACCTACAACTATTTAATGCATCGGCCGGGTTTAATAGTTGTCCCAGTTAGTAACAGATATTTATTTTTTGTAAACTACAGTGTTTGCGAAAAAAATCACATAGATTATTATTACAAATTTAAACAACTTATATTAACAAACTAATACAGAAAAATGAAAACAATGCACGTAATGTAAACATCTATATCTCACGTCATATTTTCGTATACTCTAAGTAATTATTTAAACATGCATTTTAACAGTTGACAAATTTATCATACGGTAAACTAGAACAACGTAGGTAACTGAATATTCTGTGTCAGATGGGATTCCATAGAAAATGCTCCGATGTTTGAGGTAAAATCGCATATTACTTCCGTTTTATAACTCAGATGATTTATGGTTACGGTCCACGGAATTGACGCGTCAACTGTGCGATAAAACACGGAATATGTTTCCAATTTTATCAACCTTTGATCAACCGTTTCAACCTTTGATTTTTTAGATGAAATTGGATTTGTCCAACCGTGTTCTCAATGTCAAAATTTTGAATATTTTGGATGTTATCAACAGTAGCCTAAATGTTATTTCGTAACAACAATTTATCTCTGTACTTGTAAATAATATATTAATTCTGATTAAACAAGTAAGTACTTTTCCTACAGTTACCTGACAGAGCAGGCTTCCTTGCACTGATTATAGCACGCAAAGTAGCTAATTACAGCATTTGCTTATTTTTGTCGCATTAATTTTGCAACCAAACAACACTATAACAACACTATTGTGCATTTTATAAGGCACGTAATACGTGCACGCTAAATGAGTTGGCAACACTTAAAAGATACTACAGTACGATTACAATCAGCTGGTGCAAAGCTACACAGCCTTATGATTTTTGATACTACTAACATTATTTTTGTTCAAAGCTTGGATTTAACCTAACCTAAAACGTTTTGTTTAGTGTTTGAAAGACTAATTATTTGTATGCTTTATAGTAACTGTAGGAAATATATATTGTGTAACACGAGTGCAAAGTTCCACTTCGCGCACTAGTTATACAGATATAAATATGATTCACAAGTGTTTTATCTCAATAGTGTAGGTGTGATATACAACTATTAAGGTAGGTAATTATAAGTTTACTTTTTATTCTGTTCAAACAGGATCTTTTTATGCTAAGTGGTAGGTATCTGTATACGCAGATCAATATTATAATCTACCTATATCTTCTATACTATTATAAAGAAGAGGCGGTGTCTGTCTGTCTGTGTGTTTGTATGAGCTAAACTCAAAAGCTACTTAACCGACTGAGCTCAAATTTCACACAAATGAAGCTACAGCTCCGAGGACACATATAGAACTATTCCCGCTTCGATATTCATCTAGGGCTCTGCCCCGTGGGCTTTCAAAAATCTGAGATGAGAGATGTAAAAGTAATTATTGATTGATGGTATCCATAGTAACAAAGAACAAACCTACAATGTTTAAAAATGTAAAAAGCCCTGTCAAAATGAATTTTGGTTTCACAATTCCTCACATCTGGTTCAAACATATTAAATACTGCACGAATATTAGGACAGAAACGGTATGGACCATAAACATAAATAAACTAAATATAATACCCCTGCCACAGCAACCCTACAGACTAAGCGAATTGCCATTTTCCTGATAATAATTTCACTAAAATATGTTAGCACATTACACTATTGACAGGATTGGAACAATTGCGATGGATTTTCGTTTACAGTACAAACCATTAAACATGTTATTTGACTGTACCTTAAAATCTATGATTGGTTTTGTATCCTAGGTAGCCTAAGTGTTCACAGTCTGAGTTAACAAAAACGTACTATTGTCAATGTAAACAGTTCAATTTAGTTTCTAATCAAATGGTAGGAGTGAAACCATTTATAAGGAATTTTCAAAGAACCAATATTGGCTCTTTAGCATACTGACCCCGTTGCAAGGCACGGATATAGATGGTTGCAAATAAAAGCTTTTAATTTTGCTAAAGTGTAAAAGTATGTAAGTAGTATCAGTATGCGGATTATCACTGTGAAGGGAATCGCCAAATAAAAACACAATCTCTTAACGCTCGGATGCACTTTTTGGAGTAAGCTAATTTTGTTATGTGCCCGGGTTTCCTTCCTATCTGACAACCCTAGGGGCTTTACATTCAATTGGCCTACATTAGCAGTATTGCATGTTTTTCCCAGCCAAACTGAATCCAACGAGTTTCATCTAGTTTAATCTTCAAGTGTTCACGTTATAAATTCAATTATAAATAATGGATGCTCCCGGGTTCAAATTAAAAATTAATATTTCACAATAAGCGTGAAAGGTGTATGTTTATTCCTTAGCAAAACTTTTATGTAACCCTATTAATTGATGTTGGATACTTTTGAATTTCCCTTTAAAGTGTGCTGCAAATCAAATTTTTTTACTGTTATTGGTTCTCTTTAACTTAAAAAAGTTTAATTTTACGATAAGTTTCCCTCTTAGTTTTGCATGATTAGAAATTATGTGTAAAACAAAAAAGTATTTTACAGCACAATTTCAAAAGCTCAATTGGGCTTTGAAGCGGGATATGTTATCTATCATGGGTTACTTACTATCCTATAACCCAATGGATTTGAATTTTTTCGTTCCAGTTTTGGTTTTTTAAGTTTATTTTTAATGGTTTATTATTGACTTAAATGTACAGCGAGTGTTAATAAAAAATATAGCAGTCCAGCAAACACACCGACAAAATAATGATTATGTTCGACGTTATACCCAGCCCTAATTTATAACGTGGGCTACCAAATTTGTTAAGTTTTAACTTTTTCTGTTTTAATTAAATTGTTATTCTTCACTATAATTAAATGTTGTATTATCACTCTTTGTATTGCTTTTACGTTATTTTAATTAATGTTTACGTCTCGTAGATGTTTCTAAAATATTGTATTACCGAGCAATGCTATGTGGAACTAGCCAAACCCGAGCTACACAACGGGGAGAGAATGTGGAAGAGAATTATGTGGTCCGTTAAATGGTTAAATTTACTGCATGAAATAATTATACATCCAATATTGATTTTAGCTAAACAAAAACTCATCTTTTCCCTTTTCAACGTAGTGAAGCCAATTGTTTCCCTTCAATTTGTTTACTTTGTATCTATCTATACTATAATATGAGTAACGTTTGTGCACAATGATTTCAAAAACGGCTCCTATGATTTAATCAAATTTAATATCTTTAGGCTAAAAACAATATCCCTCCTAGGTTCTGTTCTGGAAAATTCGTTTTTCGTTAAAAACTTAAAATGAAATTTCAATATTTTTAACATTAGTCTTGTGGTTTGTCAAGTAGCTATGGCAGTTTTAAGGAAATGTAAATAAATTAACTGTAACATACGCTTGTAACAAATCATCTACAGTACAGAAGCAAATTACTAAATACAGTGCAAAAGAATATAACATTGCAACGAATACTATTTAGCATTGGCAATGCTCGGTCCCCCGGTACTGAAATCTAATGAATGTAAGTTCAAACAAATAATGTGCTTTTTAAACACAAGCATGATTGATAATACTGTACCTAAAAGAAATTGATGAAATAAAAAAAAGTTTAAAAATCAGCTGCCCCAAGTAAAAAAATTAGAGGGAACTTCCCCTCAAACCGCCTAAATTCTGTGATCGGAGTTAATGTACAATTAGATCAAATTTATTTCATTTAGTTTCAAATAAACAATTTAGATTTATTTAATAGTATGGAGTATCTCGGTAAACCTACATTTTGAGACAAGCCTCTATAACTACGAGTCTGTTCCTGTAGCCTTTATCAGATGTTTACAAAGCTTACTTGGCTCCGATTTCTAGTTATGTAACAGCATTTGACGCGATATCAGTTTGCAGGCTTCGGATTTAATTAATGTCCTACAGGGAGTCAGTCATGCATCAGTGGTCTTACAGTCAATAGCATGTAAGTTCAATTATCTGGGGGCCGAGCTTTGCTTGATGGAAAATCTATAGGGTGCTCTATGAGCAGTCTTTGGCCAATAGTATTTTTAAAAACGTACTTTAGTTGGCTAAACCGGTATATTTGATCAGATGCACACTGCAAAGTAGCGATTTTCAAACAATATAAACACAATGAAAAGGTTGAGTCGATAAAAAAATTATGAAAACTGTAGACTGTAGTAGCAATGTGTTCACTCGAATTAGTTTAAAAAAAAAAATTATTTCTTACCATGTTACTTAGTCCACTACTTTGCTAACTTCGAATCGAAGGACAATCCACAAAATATTGGTCAAGTCTATCTTGACTAGATCATAATCTACATAAAATGATCCGTATTAATTCTGACATACAATCTGTTGTAACCAAGCAAAGTTTGATTTTTTTGTTGAAGAACGAAGTAGAGGCCTACTAATTTATGAAGATAATTAACGAACACTACTGGTCTGTAAAACGGGTTATTTTTCTTGTCGAATTTTTAAGATGGTTATTGCTTTGTTTATCTCGTAACCTCAAAAATTCAGCTCAGTTAAATACATTGTACACTGTTGCAGTCAATAACAAAACTACTAGGCTATCCCATTCATCCTTCACTCATCTTCGCCAAGTAGCACCCCTGAGTGGCGAAGTCGCCATAGAGATCCAATTATACTAACCTCAATGTTGTAAGAACCTAAACACGTTTGTTGGATAGTTATTATTTTGTGTTACTTACAATGTTAAAAGATCATATCGTAAAAAAAATACCCAAACGGATATCGTTAAAACAGCTTAATACGATATACATGTATTAAATGCGGAACAAGAAACTTATAAAGTTAAGGAAATCACGAACGTCAATATGAAGCTGTTTATGCCATAATTGAACAAAGGTGAAGATATGATTTTTATAATAACTAGGTATAGACAAAATATTCACTATTGTATTTACAAGTCAATAAAACTGACGCCCATGAGGCCATTGACTATTGGATACTGAAGGAGTTACTAAAAAGAACGTAGGCCTAGTTGTGTTAGCAAGTCACAGCATGCGCCGGTGTCTAAAAATTTGTTCACCATATTTTTCGTTGCTGACAAAGTTGATGAACAGTTGCTATAGCTCACAATTAGTCATTCCATAACTTTGACTTTGTATAAAAGTTCATGGTATTTGACAGAAATCAGTAATTTAGATCACCACAATCTGTCGATTTTGATTTTAAGACCGGCGACAACTTAAACGTTAGGATGGAATGTCTACTTGTATCAATAGTCAAAATTTAAGTTCTTCAATTAAGTGTCAAAACAGGCCACTGCAAAAATATTTTATGAGTTAAGGTTTACAAATGTGTATTGTCTATGTTGGACACACAGTCAACATATCCGTCTTGAAACTGAAACAATAAAAGACCAATTCAAAATTTAATTTTTAAATAAAATGTTGACAACGCCAGTTTTGCTTGCATTATGTTGGAGATACTTGGCCGTTGTTAACATGGTGTGGTTTGCCACAGCCTGTCACTTGCCATATGTCACTTGTCACACATATGTTTAGCTTGCACTCCATGACACGGTATAATAAACCACAGGATAAATAAAGCCAACCAACCTTACAATGTCACATGGCGTTAGGTTCACATGATTTAATTTTGTTTCGTATTTGTTTACGGGAGTTGGCACTCCATTTCAAAATTAGAGTTGGCAACCAAGTTATCATCCCTGTAATTTTGTTTCCTACTATTTTAGCGTTTAAGTTAAGTTGGCATTCCATTCTTAGATAAAAGAGTTGGCAACCAAGTTATCATCTCTGTAATTTTATTTCCTACTATTTTCGCGTTTAAGTTAAGTTGGCATTCCATTCTTAGATAAAAGAGTTGGCAACCAAGTTATTATCCCTGTAATTTTGTTTCCTACTATTTTCGCGTTTAAGTTAAGTTGGCATTCCATTCTTAGATTAAAGAGTTGGTAACCAAGTTATCATCCAATTTTGGTTCCTACTTTTTTAGTGTTTAGGTTAAGTTGGCATTGCATTCTTAGATTAAAGAGTTGCTAACCAAGTTATCATATCTGTAATTTTTTCTTATTATTTTAGCGTTTAAGTTAAGTTGGAATTCCATTCTTAGATAAATGAGTTGGCAACCAAGTTATCATTTCTGTTATTTGTTCTTATTATTTTAGCGTTTAAGTTAAGTTGGCATTCCATTCATTAAAGATTTGGTAACCAAGTTATCATCAAATTTTGGTTCCTACTATTTTAGTGTTTAGGTTAAGTTGGCATTGCATTCTTAGATTAAAGAGTTGCTAACCAAGTTATCTTATCTGTATTTTTTTCGACTATTTTAGCGTTTAAGTTAAGTTGGAATTCCATTCTTAGATAAATGAGTTGGCAACCAAGTTATCATCTCTGTAATTTTTTCTTATTATTTTAGCGTTTAAGTTAAGTTGGCATTCCATTCTTAGACTAAAGTGAGCGGCTAAATTTCTTTGTAATTTCTCTCATACTATTTTACCAGCAAGATTGAATTGCGTTGTAAATCCATTCCTAAATAGTTGGCAAACGAGTACAGATTTTATTTATGCAAACGACTAGCACAACATCTTAGTCCAATTAACCAATTAACCAATTATATACCATCGATTTTTAACTCTGTTATACCAATAGAGGATTTCGAGTTTAAAATTTTTAAATGAAAAAAGTTTGTGAATCACAACAAAGGATTCAGCCTCTTGAAAGAGGTATTTGCAATTATCCCTGCAGATCAAAGGCCACTTTGCTTCATTGTAGAGTGTATGTCTGTCAATTCCTCTTTCCTGGCAAAAATGTACTTTTGCCGAACAAAACTGTTACTTTTGTTTGTTTTTATTTGTTCAATCTGCTTTTCGTTACAATGATTTTTATGTTAGTGATTGAATCATATAATACTGAATCTATTGTGTATTTTAGTGCTATTTGAAATTCAATTTTGAGTAATACTTTTTTTATGTACAAACATACTATAAAAATATGGGAATATTTGGATTTTTGACATGAAAACGATTGTTATTCTATAAAGTTTTACTAAATTCTTGCCATTTAAAGTTATCATTATTTAGTCATAATAATGATTTATGGAGGAGGCTATATTGTATTAATAAAAATTAATGGATTCAATTAACACCACCTAACTAATTAACGTCAATCAATGTGTTTTGTCAGATGAGCACATGTGGGGTGAGTAAAGTGTTCAGTTAAAGTGAATAAAGTAGTGACATTTTCGATTTCGGGTCTGAATTAACCCGACTCTACAACCAGGCAGTTCCAGTCTAGTAGGTCCATTGATTAAATCTTTGAACTAGAATTGTGTCATCCAGTTACAGTACATTCAAAACCTGAAATCGAATACATTTACTGCTATGGTTAAATGTTTGTACGACTCCCTCATTTAATTGTACTAGGCTATGTTAAATTTCAAATAGATGGCTCTTATAGTTTAAGTCTACTATAAATTCAATTTAAAATGTGTTTTCAAACTGGTTACATTTAGTAATACAAAACTGTTCACATTTACCAGACTTAAAACCAGGTGTATCAAAGAAGCTGTATGCATATTTTAAACTAGGTTAAAAATCTTTCACTTTGAAATGTTTTTTACATTAGCCTAATTTATAATAGTATGTCAGTACAAATTTTGTCAAACTAAATAAGTTGTTAAATTTTTGTGCATTTTGTTTTAGAGGATCTTACTCAATGGTACACAAATGTCTGCACAAGGGGAAAACCGAGAGAGCTTGCAAAGTTTACAAAAAGGTAAATATTTTAATTTATGGTACATATTGAGTAACGTTACATGATACCCTCTGTATCATGTTGACAAATGTAACACGTTTCAATGTTGTGATAATAAATAGCTATATATTTTTAATTAAAATATATATTTTTAAGTTGAATATAAAATACTAAGACTCAACGAGAATCAATTTAGCAACAATGACATTTTGAATTTATGATATATGTCGCAAATATTTGAAGCAGATCACCAAAAAATGTTGGTGGGTATTCATTTTGATTTATGTTCCATACTAGGGTATGATTGTATATTCTGTTGGTGTTGTCATATTACACTGCTCTAGCAAATTAATTATACAAATCACCTTTCTAATGGAGCATTAGAGCTTGTATTCAGAGACTACACATTAGCCTTAATAGCACATGTATACACTATATAAACTGCATTTAAGGATGCAAGAAAATTAGTGTCTATTTCAAAAAACAAAAATGTTTGAAAAAATAAACAAAAATTGTTTTGTACAAGACTATAATATGGTCATCGTGGTTTCTGTTTGAATACTATAGTTAGTAGGGACATTGCAGTTTTGGTTAGCACCGGCCACTGTATCTGGAGACTTTGGTCCAATTCCTGCCAATCAGCCTAAAAAGAAATAGCCCTTATAGCTTTATGAGAATGCTCAAACCCAGTGATTTTTAGTCCACCATTAACTGTGGGCATCATTGTAAGATAACATAAAAAAGCTAGCTAACATAACATATCATAGTAAAGCTTAGCTCATAAGGAGTTACAAAATTGCTCATTGATAGAATGTACTATATAGGGTAAAGTGGATGATTTCTTAAATGATGTTTTTGTATAATTTCTTGGCATTATATTTTGTTTTAGTTGCTATGTATTTTAATTGTTAATGACTATTTCCCCTTTTTCCCAACGTTATGTGAAAATAAATTATTGACTTTTAACTATTGACTATCTGCTTTTTTTTAAAATAGTACAAAATGTTCCACATAAAAAAACCGACATTTTAAAACCAATTAAATAGTCAGTATCTGATTTCACCGATATGTTTGTTTAGCTTTAACATTATTTAATTATTATTATTAAATCTTTATTTTAGGGGTTTTCCCGTGGACCAGTCTTTGGCAACTTTTAGTCTGTCACACCCATCCCAACACTACAAAATAAAACCATGTTACCATGTAACCATGTTAACGTTATCATATGTTTGTATTTGACAAATTTTGAGATTTGATCTGGTGAAGCTCTGGTTTTAGTGAATTTCATATTATTTTAAAAAACATTCAACATATTTTTAAGTTTTTCCTTGGGGGAGGTATTGTGGGAAAAATTTAATTTTATACTTGTAGGACCAAGTTTGTCTGAAATCAATAGTGTTGGGGGGGGGGGGGGGGTCTTATGAGATTCACACTGTACATGAAAATGTCTTACCTTTAACGTTAACATTGTATATTACAAATAAAAAAAAACTAGTATCGGTTTTCAAATCGTTAAAAAGGGCTGGGAGTTTCGATAAAACGGAATATGGACTGAGAACAAGAGATGATTTATTTGTTAAGCGAGACACCCATTTGCGTCAAGTTTCAACAGTCATTCTCTTTCACACTCCATTTACATTTTCCCTCAGCCCGTCAATTTGTGATTTTTCATTAAACCTTCAAATTTACTACTGTCCTTACTAGATTCTTTTAAATTGTTAATAAAATACCAGTAAGTTATACTGTATGTTAACAACTATTTGAAAACTAAATATTATTTTTATAAAGAAACAAAGTAGTAAAGTTTTAAAAACCATAGATACACTGTATTTAGAGAATAAGTGGTTACTTATTATGTTTTCAATTATATTTTGTAATTTTTTAAATAATTTTATATCAATTTTATAATTTATTCCAATTTTATAATTTATTCCAATTTTATAATTTATTCCAATTTTATTATTTATTCCATGATTCCTTGTATGCATGCTATTAATTGACAATATATTGCTTGGACTATAATCGCTTTTATTTTTTCTCTTACTTTTTTATTTTTCAATTTGTTTTACCAAATTCAAACCTGACAAAGCTGAACACCACTCAAGATAAGATTAGTGAAAATGGAAAATATTATTTGGATAGTCTCATAATCCTTATTTGATGGGTCTCTAATCTCCATATGGTTATGCTTGCTTTTGCTAATAAATGTTATTTTAATCAATTTATAGTAAATTTCACTGGGTGAACTTTAATCATTACTATAGGTTAGTATTGTTAGCTAGTATCACAGAGAAGTAATAATATTACTTCTCTGTGCTAGAACTAAACTAATCCAATCTAGTACCTATAAAGGACAAGCAATCATTTCTAAATAGTCTATTGTGTTAGGGGCCTATTGGGTTGAAATAGTTTTAACTTTGGTGAAATAACAAACTAATAAATAGCAATCGTCAAAACTAAACTACATATACCGCTAGAAACATACTTAAAAATTATCTTCAGTTGATCTCTAACAATGCTGAATATATAAGCGAGTAGGTACTGTATGTTCAATGTGTATGTTTATATTTATAACAATGGCTCTTATCAATGACTGTACAGTATATTTTTATTTTGTGAGATACAGTAACTCAAAAATACTTTGTTACCAATTATCTTGTGATAAATTATTCCAGAAATTATATGTGGTAGATCCCTAAGTTCGCTGAATGTTCGGAGAGTTTAGTTTCTACATCTAGAGCTGAGCAGATGACAGAAAGTTGCCCCAAGCTTAGCCTTGTAATTGACTTTAGAGTGCCATCAGAAGTTATAACTTCATCTTGACACCAGTATCTCAGTTAGTTCCTCCTACAGATCAGATATCCCAACTGCCAAATGACAACTTTTAATTAATGTGTAATTTCTTTTCTCAGAGAAAAATTAAAGTGTCAAACATTAGTCTCAGAACTACTTTTGTTGTTACCATTGTTGGTAATGTTTTATTGAATTCCATTCTTGTCTTTACCTACCACAAATTAGAAAATAAAATGTCTTATACTGTAAACCAGTTAAGAAGGTTGGTTAGATCATTAAATATTTTGAATGTCACTTGTTTTTTAGACTTTTAACTACCAGTTACACTCACTCTTAACTCAGCATTTTGGACATTTTCTTATTTTTGTTCAGTTTTGTTATGTTGAATTGAATGAGATAAGTTCATCAGATACTTCCAGCAAGTAGGTATAAGTTAACAATAGTACGCTAGAATAGAAAGCCAAATGAGTATGGTAGCCATTGAATATTAAGTTTACTTATATGGATAGAAATGTTAATACTGGTACTTTGTTTTCCACAGATTCATGAAAATTTATATAGATAGATTTTGTTAACGAAACCATAGAAAAAACTATGGTCTTGACAGTTACCAAAGTTATTTATGCTATCAGATTAACAAATTTCATACAATTAATTAATGTCAACATTATCTATTTTACATCTTGGTCTGAAATATTTTCAGACATACATTTCAATAATATTATATGGGACAGAAAATACCTAAGAACACTTACACTATAGTATTAAAGCGGAATAAATTTTGTTTTAAAAACTTTATTTGAAAAAGAATCAATCTAAATCATTTGATAAGTCTGCCTTGCAAGTTATCTGACAGAGAGAAATTGAGATTGAGTTGGTTTCAACTTCCAGATCACACCAATCCAAACATTCAGAATATTTACTTTAACATTAGACATGAAAAGCAATTAATATAGTAATTTATTAATAAGCTCATACAAAAGTCCAACGTAAATAATGCATCGTAAATTCAATAAAAATCAAACCTGTTTATTTTAATGGTTTTGGTGGTTTATCATGCTAATTGATTGATTTAAAAGTATATGTATATATTTAAACTAAACTAAAAATAACGATTTATTTGAAAACTATTGTTTTAGTAAGAATAATTATAACCTCAGAGTTTATCATAAAGTGTATTTATTTACTAACAGTAATTTTTTACGAATATTGCAAAGAAAAAGCCAACAAGATGGCATTACACAGTATTTCATGAAACGAAGCCATAAAAACCTTCAAAATGATAATGATAAGAACGAGTAATAAGTTATATTCAATAAATTAAAACAGGTATACTATTTTACTTAATACAATAAATATCATTCAACACTATGTTTAAAAACAGTGATAACTAAAAAAGACAACAATATTGGAAAGAATGAAAATAGTTTACTAGAAATTTATATTTCTCATATGCTAAATCGAGGATCAAAAATAAAAATTACTTCTAATATGAAAGGTCATTGAGCAAATCAGGTTTCATTGGTAAACTTATATTTTATAAATTACAATCAATACTTTAAAATTTTTGTAGTTTTTCCTCTCTAAAACAAAAAAAATTCTAACAAAAATAAATATTTTAAAATAACAAAGGAAGGAGGCTATGATAATACCCGAGGAAGCTAGTTAACCATTGTTGGATTCAATGTAAACTGTATTGTTATGTTAAGGCCGTGTTGTTGTTATGGCCATGTTGTTGGTTGTATGAAGTGTTTCCATTTCCGAGGAGTATCAGGAGCTTGTTATCCTTGCCTCTCCTGATGCTCGATATCATTATGACAATCTATAGGATCAGCACATCTGCTCTTGCTACACTTCCACCAACTACTTTGAGCTGTCCAATAACTTTTTCGTCTCAAAATGAAAAAAGAGTGTTCAGTTCAAAATTTTTACAATCCTACCTACCTGAAATTTATTATTTATATTGGTTTATATGTCACAATTCTGTTTATAAAAATATAATTTATACTTTCTTTATTCATTATGTATATATGTATAACTCTTATTATTGTGAAGTAAGATTAGGGCCTCTGAAAGTAATTTCAATATACCAGGTGTCCCATAATAGTCCCCCTGGTTAATTTTTAAACGTGTTAATATATTCAAACGAGCTTTGATACACTACGAGGGTAATGTTAAGTACTTTTGGGGGGTATTTGAAATTGGGTTGCTGAAGGGAACTTAACATTTTAAATAGGAACCCTATCAAGTAGCACATCATTTTAAAGGCCATTGGTTTAAAAGAATATTGGTGAAAATCAGATGACTCTATCTCAACCCATTACAGAATGGCGGCCGTTTTTATTTTTCGTCAGCCTGAGAGAGTCCATGTAAAAAAATACACCAATATCCCCTAGTACTGTTTTTTATGTGTTATACCAGGGAAACTAAACTCATTATTATTGTTACAAGACAGTAAACACTACATTTTGATCAGTATGACAATTTTGTCTGGGACACCAAAATGGGGTAATTATTTTGGGGTCCCAACATTTTAAAATATAAAGCCTCATGAAGTGACATCTCATTTTGAGGGTCTTCAGTTGTTCAGTTAAAAAGAATATCGGCAAAAACATGTTAAATAAATTTAAATAATTTTAAAAATAATAAGCTAAGGGGTTGCTATGTTTAAACATTTTAATTTACCCCCAGTAACCTCTAATAATTGGGGTGGGGGGGTGAATTCCAAAATACTCCCAAAAAGTACTTTAAATTACCTTAGTAACGTGTATCGAAGCTCGTTTGAATATATTAAGCCGTTTAGGAATTTTTTTGTGGGGACTGTTATGGGACACCCAGTATAAGTAAAACCAGAGTATTTTTTGAAATTTTTACTGACTGAATTTTTTAATCTACTTCAAAATGTGCAATATAGTTAGTAAATACGCCAAAACTTTTATTAGTAAATCAAATTATAAGGGTAGGTAATGAGGTATTTTTAAGTACTAATATTACTTTCAGTATCAGCATCAGTATTATACTCCATTCCAATTTAGGCGGTTTTACGGGAAGAAATCTATCCCCTCCACATCTCGATCCTACCATTAAAACACAGCTTAAAAGCTGAGATTTGTCAAAACGTCAATCAACTGCAACATACTTTAAGCCGAAAAGTGATGGGAGAATTTCCCCTCAAACTGCCTGAATATTGTGAACGGAGTATAGTAACATCTATTGTACTTGTACAAATATCTAACAAAATGTTATTTTTCAGGCTCATCTAGAACCCAAATCAGTTCCTTCCCATATCAGTACAATATTGAAACTGAACCACCCACATTTAGTGAGTAGATATTTATCAAATGTTGTGCCGTAATAGTAGTCTATTAATTTATTAATTCTATGGTCTAACAACAAATACTGTCCATAAAATGTAGTATTGCTATAAGTATCAAAATAAATAAAATACAGTACCAGGACATATAACTTGATTTATAGTCCATTTGACTGTGTTCCAAAGCAGACACTTTTATGTGGCCATTTATGAAATTGAATTGTTAGCTTTTGGCAGTCAAGTAGTACCGTAATAAATCACCTTTGTGTGTTCTGTATTTTTGTCTTTTGACAATTATACTCTCTTAACTCCATCTTTTGAACTTAACGGTCTCTATGAATGGATGTATTTTATAATCCTTCCTCTCCCTCTTTTATGTCTCTGGACTATTGTATTTGTAAATCAAAGCTCTGACATTGAAAATTATTTCTGGCTAAAATGAGTATTATTACAGAAACAATGTTCCACAAGTTTATGTTTTGAAATATTTGCTATTTAGAAAACCCTATTTAAATAAGCACTAGGTACTTGAGTTGATAACACGTTGTTTATAATATATAAATTATGTACAGTTTTCTAACAAAAAATTATAACAGTTGGGTACTGAACCTTGTCTATACTGTGTCAAGTATATTAGAATAAATAAAGGTTGTATTTAAAATAATAAAACTTTTAGGTTGATATTGCTTAATTCAGCTAAATAATATAGTTCAACCACACATCTTTTTTATAATTAGTTATAGTTTAAAAGCTAAAAAGAAACTTTTAAAGAAAGTTGATTGTAAACCAATTTACAGGTACTGTAGTTTGAAAAAAAAGTTTTTTCTTGTGTGAAGATGAAAACTATTTTAGCCTCTTCATAAATTTAAACTCACTCAGTCTAAATTACTGTTACAGAATGATAACTTAAAAAAAAAAAAATATTGTTAAGTTGACATTGATATTGTGGATGATCCCTCTAAAATTTACACTTTAAAATAGAAAGAGGTTCTTTCAGTAGCCCCAAAATTGGGAACAGAGACGAGACACTTATGAACATGCAGCTATGTAATTAAACAAACTATAGGGTCGTCCAGTGGTCGAAAACCCGAGAAAAAATATGTCAAGTACAGACTTTTATATTTTCGCGCTACGCTGTAAATAAAACATGTGATTGGAATTGCTTCCGTTTGTTTTGATTTTCTGTTTATATAGCGTTGTTATTTCGTCACCAGCATGGCAACCCATAGGGTTGATGTTAATTTGTTTGAAGACTTAAATTCATGTTTTGTGCTTATTTTTTAGAATCTATTTTAATTTATAAAAGGCTTCTGCACATCTACAGAAAATATCTTTCCAACAGTATTCATAGATTTTCCCTGCGATTCAGACGATCAGAGAAAAAAGGTTTTAAAGAAACATGCTGGCCTATTAATATATAGAAGATAACCAGTTTAAAATTCCTATAAATAAAACAAATTGTTTGATCCAAACAAAATAAAACTAAATTATTTATCTCTGTTAGAAACTAAATAGATCTTATGTTTTCAAACAATCCTACGCCATATAATTCTCGACCTCTCAAACTTTGCTATGAAACTTGACCTAGCTAATTACTTGCATTGACTTCAACACAATTATTTCTGCAGTACATAAGTTTGCATTGGGTCCCTGAAAAAATTCCGTAAATGTGATTGGTATTTACAGGATGAAGCGATAATACTAAAGCTTCAAGATTGTCACAGTAGTACAGTTCGTGGGTTTACTCACACTCACTGTGTTGTTTTTTGTAAAAAAAACTACTGCTGGTCCATTTAGATGGGGTGTATACCTCAGTATCCAAAAACCAAAGTTATATAGTAGGTTTCTAAAACCAACATTCATACAAGCAGTGTTTAAAAAACCCCTCTATACTATTTGATGGGCACAGCTGTTGCGCAGAAAATTGCCTCTACCACTTCAGAGCTCCTTCTACGTGTATCCATTTCATCTGTTGTCATGTTGGCAGGCCTGTGTACACGAGGTGTTTGAGATGCCCCACGAGCTGCAGGTAGTGGTAGACCTGATGACGGGGGAAGAGCTGTTGGAGCGCATCGAGCGCAGTGAGCACTACAGCGAGAAAGATGCATCTCGCGTCGTCTGCACCATCCTCTCAGTACTACAGGTGAGATTGAGTGTTGGACAAGTCTGCTGTCGATATACAAGGGTTGATATCAGCTGGATATTAATGCTCACCTAAAACTTAAAAGATCGTAAGATCAATCCTGAGGGAAATCAGTTACATTTTCATGGTTCAACACAGCTTTCCTTGATGATTTGGCTATTAAAATGGTTCTGGGTAAAGAGCTGGTTATAGCATAGATAAAACATACTCCCTTAGTAGATTTCTCATCCTTATGGAACAGCTGAAGACAATTTTATTGTTAGTTCTGTGGTTTATGTAGAGGTCGTGTTTTGTTTACAATTGGTTTCCCGTTGTTACAGCCATTTAAAACCTCGTTTAACCAAATAATACGATCTAATCATAAACGATATAACCTGTCCCCTAGTTATATAACCAAACAGTAAAGCACAAATCAAGAAATTAACCCTAAAATAATAGAAACAAAGTTTCGTTGACACTAGCGCCCATGTGTCACGTACATGAACTAGACACGAAAAACGTGCTTCAAAATTTACAATGGGATGAGAAGTCTACTTGTGTTGGTTAGTCTATGATAAAACATAGTCTAAAAACATAGTTAGTAACAAGGTACTCAGGGAATCTCCAGTCCATTGTGTACCTATCACAATTGGTTAAGTACTTACTTACTAACTTACCCCCATGGTCATTTGTACCCCAAGTGGTACTTGGCCTCACCAACACACTGCCTCCATGCCACCCTGTCTCTTGCGATACCCTCATCCCTCATTGACTTCCATACTGGCCATATCTTTCTTTACTTAATCCGTTCAGGGTTTTCTCGGTCTCCCTCGTGGTCTTCTCCCCAGTGGGTCAAGTAGTGTATCAATTGGTTAAGTAGTGTATTAAAATTAACCATTGCAATTCGGACTATAGACATAATTATATTTCCTTCAACATTAAAAGGAACAAACATGGCCCAGGGTTATGATCACCTTCAGTGGCGTGCCCAGGATTTTGCCCTGGGGGGGGGGGGGGGTCAGGCTGAAGGATGGGGCCTTTCTAGGGGCCTGGGGGTTATGGAATGTTAATGAGAAAATTTAAAAAAATATGTGTTCAATATTGATGATTTAAGCTACCGTATCTAAAAGTGTTAAATATCATACAAAATATTTATTTTTTATTTTGGGAATTTAATATCAACAAATCTTTAGCCCAGGGGGGCATCCGGTACTGCTCGACCCCCCCCCCCCCCCGTAGGTACGCCCCTACCTACCCTAAGGTGTCACACCTTAGGTAAATAGGACTTGGACTTGCAGAAGACATATGCTAAAGAGTATGTGTCAGGAGCAAAAGGGGAAATCTGACTCAACAACCAGCACAGTAAAATATGAAGTTTACCGAGAAATTTCTGCAAATTGAAAGAAAATAGGATCACTCACAGGCAGTGTACACTGTACAACGGGAGTTGTTTACGTTTATTGTACGAACCTTATCTAGAGGCTAAAAATATTTACAGTAAACTGTCTCATTTCTTTTCACTCCTAAAACAATCATGTTATGAAAACAAACTTGAATATTGGACGAAAACGTTAGTTGGTCATTTAACACATTTCGTATAACATATTTTGTATCCATGAATATAATTGGTTATAAATTCATACCTCAAAATAAAATGTATGCTATATCATATTACGAAAGCAAACAAATGTTTGTTCACTATTTGAACATAATTTTGCTTTAGTAATCCTTTTTATAATAATAAAATTGAAAGGATATTGGAAATTCATATTTTGACAAATTAATCTACATGATTTTGTTATTATTATGACTTCAAAGTTTTAATATCTCAAGAAATATTAAATTTATTCCCTTTATGTTAAATTGTAATGAATTTCTTCTCATTTATTTAATAATCTCACACAAGAGAAGAATCGGTAAAAACAACCAATTCATTTCAACTTAGATGACCGAAAGTTATTAGTAAGAGATCCCTGCTCTGGAAGCTGAGTCCTTTAATGTTGTGGGATAAACACTAAGTCTTCTGAAATTACTTTTCCTGTATTCTGTGTGTTGAAAGAATAAGGTTGAGTTTACAAAGTGAAAGTAAAAATTTACGAGTTTGGTGTATTAGCTTAGAAACATTATCCATTACCACTTTGAAAAATGTTAGTTTGTTTTCTACATAATAAGTTGAGGTACCAGTTTTAGCATGGGTTAGACATATTCATATGACTCATTGTGTTTTCATCACTCTATATACGAAAAGAGCTCATATCTGTACAGCTAAGCTTTACAAAAAACTTTACTTTTCCTGTCCCAAACAAACTTTTTCCATTAATATAACAACAAAAAACATTTGTTTTTGTCCTGCCCTACAGTCAAATGAAGCTTTCCACATTGACCCTACTTCAGTATTTTGCTATTTTCATTCTTCTAAAATATAAGACTTATTAATTGAAACCTGAGAGAGTTTTAAGGCCATGATCAACAGTTTTATTTTGTTTCATCATTGAAAAAGTGTAGGCTAAAGTTAAAAATATAATTAGTGCATATACGCTTAAAGATCATCTTATATTTCATGAATATAAAGAATTTAACTATCAGCAACAGACAGTGGTCAAAAGTGCTAATAGGATTTAAAGATAAATAAAGGTTTTTTTAATGAAGTAAAGCTGCTTACTCTACTTTTAAATCAATTGTTTATGGAACACGTTTAACTTCTTACTCTAAAGTCACTGTGAACTTTTGTAACTAAAAGTTCCTGCTAAGCGGATTTTGAAAGTTAAACAATGTTGGTTGCTAATGACTATGTTTATACCAGTTAGCTATGAATAGTGGTATATGTTTTAATAACTTTGTTAGAAGAAAAACAAATACAACTGATTTGTTCAGGAGCAGATCCAGGACAGAATCTTGGAGGGGTGGTACGGAGCTATGGTTAAGGATTTTGAGCTTTAGTAACCTCCCGTCCCGAATTTCAGAAAACTGAATAAATACAGATGTTCATTATTGGTTTTGATTATATTTTGAAATTGTTATATGAAATCAATAATGGTAGAATCAATTTGAATTAGTTACAATTTTTATATTTTTCTTAAGCCTTTGGGAGAGGGGAGGGGGCATGGCTCTAATTGCCTCTGGATATGATATACATTATTTTATTACAGTATTTTATTTATTACAAACTTTTAGCACCAATTAATGCAAGTGTACATTGTACTGAAGTTTTGTTTTTATATAATTTATATCTAGGAACTGGCTCTGTAACCCAGCTGATAATTATGCCGAAGAGACCATAATTTGCCATGTCCACAAGTGAGCTGTTCTATTTCCAGCAGTGTTATTTTTTAATTGTTTATAAGCTTAAGTTACCTGAGGGCAATGTTAACTGTATTTTTATCCTTATTCCTATAGTACCTACACAGCCAACAGCTTCCCCATGGCTCCGTCTATCCAGAGAACCTCCTTTACGAGTCAGAGGCACCCAACGCAAAGCTCAAACTCTCGGAAATATCTATACCAAAGATGAGCCACTCTCCTACTACTTTGTCGATATACATAGGTAAGTAGGCACCCATAAAAAGGTCTGGAATGATTTTAAATTCCGGGTAAGTTTGAGATTAAAAAATATATACTGTCTAGTAGACTCCCTTCTATAACATTATATGACACCTAAAGATGTGACCCTTTCGTCTGAACAAAATAAGAGACTAACTCTCTATCAGCAGCCAATATAAATACCCCTGACACAGCAAACATAAATTGACTAAATGGATTTTACATTTGCCTAATTCAATTTCTACTCAAATATTTCCTTATAAATGTCAGATTCATTCCCTTTTAGCGAATTTCCCTATAGGGAAGTAGCTATTACCGTAGGTGGCACGGTAAGACCTAGACCCGGGACCGATTTACTTTTTCATTTTGATGTCCCCAGAGGCCAAAAACACTATTCGTTCAATTTTTTATATATGTATATATATATATATATATAGACTTATATATATATATATATATATATATATATTATATACGTCCGTGAACGCGATAACTTGAGTAATTTTTGTCCGATTTTGATGAAATTTGGTTTAAAGGTGTAAAGCGGGATAAACTTGAATGAGTTCGCGAACCAGCACGATCGGACCATGGGAACGGGGCTTTACGGGGGGTTTTATGGGGTAAAAATTGGTTTTTCTCACTTTTGACCCTCAAAACACAAAATTTCCCAATTTCTCTTTAGACCTTTTTAAAGAGCTTAAAAAAACAAATAATTTAGTATATAAAAGTATTTTTGTTCAAATATTGGTAACGGAGAAAATTTAAAAAATTGTAAATTTAAAATTCCCATGTTATTCTTATGAAGAATATTGTCAAATGTTGTAGTTTGCTTGTTTATGGATATATTTTGATCAAACTTAGCAAATTTATTTATTTTGTACTAAGCTATCAATATTTTACTCCAAAACACACTTTATTAGTTTCCTTGTAGCAGCAAACCTAGGTACTCGTTAAACCTAATGTTATTAAAATATATTTAACTGAAAATCAATTCAGACAAATGGAAATTCGCTTAGTCGGCAGGTTTGCTGCGGCGGGGGTATTTAAATAACATTAGGTTTAATGAGTAATTAGGTTTGCTGCTGCTGAAAAATTATACAAGTATATTTTTTGCGAAATGTTAATAGCTTAAATAAATTTGCAGAATATGATGAAAGCATTTAATCCAAATTATAGCAAACTACAACAATTTACCGGTACTCATCCTTCAAGAATTCTAGAAAACATTTTAAATATAAGGTGTTTTGGAATTTTCTCTGAAACTATATGTTTTGGTGTATACCTTCAATAAACCAAAGCAAAAAGATGGTATTACAACCACATATATTAATTTTTTTTTAATTTGCGTTATTCACAGCTAGATGAGGAGTCTTTGCTGATAACATTGTTTGTAACAATGAAGACTTATTTGTGGCATTTCAAAGTTGCCAGCCAATACATTTAATAAAAGATATATTTTAATTAAAATTGTGACATGGTGTAAAATGAGTAATCTCTTGTTTTAGCTCCAGAATTCAATTGTGAAATGTCAAAATCCAAGCTAAGATGTTCAGCAGATATTTGGAGTTTGGGAATTCTCATATTTATCATGTAAGTTATCTGTTTTACGCAAGATGGTTTTATTAATTATTTTATGTATAACAAACAACATACAATAAATAATCAATAGAGAAATCTGGCCCCGTTTTGCACAATTTTTTTTTTTTTTTGTTATAATCATTCAGTATGCCTATATAGGAAACCCCTTAAAACTGTCCCTGTTGTTTTATAAAATAAGATACTAGATGTTAAATATAGAAGGTTGATTAATATCCCTTTGATAAATATAGTAAGCTAACTATCGGGTATTTCTTGTGAATGGTCGGAACAGAACTGTTACACCTCGTCTAGTATCTAATTAATCTGTATTGTTTAAAGTGCACTGTTCTTATACTACAAAAAAAAACAAAAAAAAAACAGAAGTACCTTTTTTAAATCGCTCCGTTCCAGCTCTGCGATTGGCAATTTGGACATTTGCGATGTGTATGTGCATTTATTGGAAGCCTGCGCCGGAAATTCGGTAACAATAATCGACTGTGTTTACATCCGGTTTCGAGCATTCAAAATGGTGCTGCCATGTGAGATTGCCGCCGACTGTGAAGTGCGTGCTGTAATTAGATTTTTCAGTGCTGCTAAAGGTGTGAAAGCCATTGAAATTCATAGACAGATTAGTGAAGTGTAAGGCGAGCAACATTATGAGTGAAGGAATGGTACGCAAGTGGATAAGGGCATTTATAAACCTACGGCTTCTATCCTGTTTGTCCTGATAATAATCCTGTAAAATTCAGGTGGCATATAACATGTGAGGTATTGTGTATATACTTTTACCTACGACCGTTTTTAAAGTAGCCATTTCAGCTCAGTTCTTAGAATTGAAAAGTTTCACTTAACAGCTGTTTACTTTCATATCAGCATAGTTTCATTTCATATCAGCATAGTTTTCCTCATATCAACACAGGTAACGGACCAATGAGGTTCAAGTATTGAGAGAAAAGAATTAAAATTGTAATGCTTTGAACATCAACTAATCAGCTGATCAGTTGACAATTTTTATTGTTGATCTTACTTGTTCCTGTTGATACGTATTCTTTCTTAACCTAAGTTGGTGGAAGTTAAAGGAGGGTAGACTAAACTGTTTTAAAAATGTCATTTAGTGAAAGTGAAGTTGACGAGATGGAAATGAAGCACAAACTGCTTATAATATTCTATAATATTCGATGCTGAGATCTAACTGTAAATTAACTCTTTCACTATAATCATTCAGTTGTCCAAAAAAAATAAAAAATAAAATGCAATATTTCCCTAATTGTACCTGATACAGTATTTATGGTAAGAATGCTGCTAGCAGAACCTATTCCCTGAAAAAGGTAACTTATTATTTAACGAAGTTTTACAAACCCGTGATTACATGAAATCAGCTGATTATACAATAAGTCGTTGCATCACTTTCAGTGGCACTGACAATAAACGAAAACATAACCTCTCTAAGAAGTTATGAGTAGTGATTGTTAGTAATTAAAAAACTGTCGTAGGTAAAGTAGTGTACGCAACTCGTGTTAATAGTCTTTACGACACTCGTAGAAGTTTTTACTTTTTCTACTCATGTTGTAAAGACCAACTTAACACAATCGTTGCGTAAACTACTATTACACATTGTAGATTTACTAACAGTGTGGATAATAAATTATCAGAAATAAGATTAAACATTAAAACTGTTAGTTTTCTTTCATGCTCTTCCCTCAGGTTATTCGGAGTGGAACCCACTGTAGAAGAACTGACAAGTCAAATCCTTGGAGAAAATGAAGACAACTGGCTAGAAATATCTGCAAGTGCAAGAGACTTGATTGTCAAGGTAAAGTTGTTTTTGGCTAACATTACAATCATAGGTCATTTCACGTTGGATAGTCATTTACCACAAGACCAGTGTGCAAACTGAAGTCACCCATGGTGGCAGGGCAAAGAACTGATCTCTACCCAGGGGGGAGGGGGAGATGGGGAGGAAAAATGAGGTTGCAAAAAGTGCTAGAAAATATCCTAGAAATCCTAGATCTTAATCCTAGCAGACCCAGGCCCGGCAGACAAGGCCACAATAACCTCTAGTGGTGGCTCTTATGGTTTGGAAGTCACGTTACCTGCATGGTAAAAAAAAGTGCAGAGTTAATGAGGCGAGGAAAACTGTCACTTTATTAGTGATCTCCCTCCACTAACAGCCATAGGCTAAATCAATTAATCAAATCATGGCTAGTTTATTTTTGCAAGCCCAAGCCCATAATGATAAAACATTTTATTTGTATATTTAATTAATTTATCAATCTATTTTGAACCTACACTTTATTTATTTAGGTTTTTACCTTGATTGCAGGTAACATTATAGGTTTAAGGGAGAAAAAAAGTGTTTTCAAACATTTATAATATGCTACCTATTTTAATTCGACAGAATGGCAAGGGGGGCCTAAGCCTCTGCTCCAGGGTGTTTTAAATCTAGCACTGACTTTGGAGGAGGTATTTAACTTTTGTAGGGAATAGCGTGAGTTAGTCTTCAAATGGAACTGTGACCTGTTGTTTTGCCATCCCGTCAATTATGTTGTATCTCATCAACCAAGAGACAACTAGACATAGATACAACTTAACGTTGAGGCACACGTCAAGTTGTACCACCCAGCCAGTTGTAGGGCCGTGTCAAGCTATGTCTACAACTAGTTGTACCTACGTCTAGTTGTACCTAGGTATAGGTGTACCTATGTCTAGTTGTATCTAAGTCTAAATGTACCTACTTCTAGTTGTACTGTACCAACGTCTATATAGGTGTACCTACTTCTAGTTGCACCAACGTCTAGGTGTACCTACTTCTAGTTGTACCAACGTCTAGGTGTGTTATACATTGTTCTCTCCCTGTGAAGTTGTATTTCATCCTGTAAACTCTCTTCAAGCGGATTCTAGAGTAGTTTTATTGACATCATTAGTTACTATGTACTGCAGTATGGTCTGCGTCAATTAAGTAGCATTGAACAATATTCTTTAATCTAAAACATAGAATCTATGAATACAAATTTACCAATCAATATCATGCAATTTTATATCATTCCTGCTACGTTTATTATTGTGGATAAAATTTCATAAGGAATGTTTCCTGGTTTTACAATGGTGTCGGACACATATCTTAAATTGTTAGTGTTACTACTTTAAGGGTTTATTCAACTGTGTTCTTTCAAAAATTCATGTCAATGATTTTACATTCACATATTTGATACTTCTATTTGTAACTTAAATGGTTCACCTCACAATGTATGCAGCTGCTGCAGGAGGACCCAGCTCTGCGGTTGACTGCAGAAGAAGCTCTGCAGCATACTTGGGTCTGCGGTTCTTCAGTAGCTACCAAACACTTGCCCGACGCACAAGAGAGACTGAAAAACTTCAACGCTCGCAGGAAACTCAGGGTAACTAAACTATAGTGTTTAAAAAGTCATACTTCTTGTTGTAGTTGGTTGCTTTAGTATTTAAGTGAGAAATAGCTATGAAAAAATGTAGTAACAAAGTGATGTGCAAAATTTTAAATGATGGCTGTGTCCCGTATTCTAAGGTTATCAACGTTTTTGTGATTTTGTTGAAGTTTTTAGCCCACATTTAAAACATTGATTTTCCTTTACATTGTTATCGATATCTACAGTGAAAATAATAGTCTCTCAAAGTATTGGGAATGATCTAAAATAGTATTGATGGTAAGAGAGAACACGGTGCTAGTGTCAGATCTTAGCTAGCTGCTTCATTAGCTGCAACACCTGACACCGCAATTATTTAAATTTTTAATTAAAGTGTTCATTTACCATTTATTTTTGTTCAAACTATATAACAAATTCTTACAACCACACTTGCAAACTTTTTTTAACTATATTAGATTAATTTTGTTGTTGTAATTGCATGAGCAAGATGTTTGTGTATTGTCCATTGTACATTTCGGCAGCTTGTGTGTCATCTTTCAGAGAAAGAAAGAGATCTCACAATGACTATGCCGCGTGGTCACACGGTTTGCTTGACCCAACCGTGATACCGGTTATGTAAACTGTTTTATGTTTTCTGAAACCAGTAATATAGTATACAAGATTATTTACTTGATTAGTGTTGTCAATAATCAATCCTTGAAGCATCTGAATTTGAATAGTTAAGTGATGTCAATATTTAAGATGTTGAATAGTTTTCTTTTTCAGGCAACAGCCCATGCAATCATAGCAACACAGAGAGCCATGAGTATTGTCAAACCCTTCAAACATTGCCAGGCGACCAGATGAAACTCCAAGTAATTTGGCTTGTGATTCCAAAACAGCATACTTTTAAACCTACCAGTAAAAATTGGATAATTGGTGCAGTCTTATGTGTTCGCTGTTTCTCATTGAAGAATCTCATTTTAGTTACCTTCCTTAGATAAGAGTGTCCAAATGTTACTAGTTTTACCATTTTTGTGCCAATTCGTTGTATAAACTAAGTTATAATTAAGTCTTTTTGTGAAATTCGTGGAGAGAGAAGGAAGCTATTGCATTTCATCCCTTACCATATCCTAATACTGTATCAAGAGATTGTTTTACAGAGGTTTGTTGCAGAGTTTTGTCTCCTCTCTTTGTAATACCTCCCTAATCTTTTATGACAAATATGGTTTATTGGATAACACTGAAAAAGATCGAGAGATTTATTTGCTCTGTAGTAATTTAAGCAAGCACAATGAAAACACAAACTATTTCAGTAGGAGCACAGATTAAAGTATGATTCAAATTTTTTCATAACAAGGCTGACAAAAAATCTTAGATATTCTGTACAACTCATGTTAACTTAACACCTCTAAAAATTATTTTTGACCCATTGCAGATGTATACCAAATGCCTATTATGCTTGATATTGAGCATATCCTTATATACAAACAATGGCAGTATTCTCCATATCAGTTCTTAATCCTATTAAAAATTCACTTTCCCATTGTGAGCTAGTTGGCAAATATTGTTATAGATTCCTACTTTTAATCAATGGAAGGTCAACCAATTATGACAATAAGCTATTAGTAGGCTATTATATTTTGTATCTCGATGAAGGTTTTTTTGTAAAGTAGTGTAGCCGATGGAAGAATGGTCTATTAAAATAATTGATACAGCTGATTTAAATGTTAGTTTATTCTCGTCAAACATTGCATCAAATACCATCGGAAATTGTTATGTGTTCTTGTCTAGTGTGTACTTTTAAAGCCAATCCATGGGTCACTAATTTTATTGAACTAAAAAAAAAATATATTTAGATGATAACCAAATGATTTGGTTTTAGTTTTTAATCCACATAAATTTTACAGATATTCACCCAACTATAAAACTCCGAGGGTTTTTAGGGGCTTATTTCATGCTACATTTAACAAACCATAATATTTCATAATTTAATTTAAGTAAAAACTATGCACAAATAATCAATAATCAGCAATAATATCAAAAGATATTTGACAGTTATTTTAAGTTGTTGATTTTGGCCTCTCTTGTGTACTTTACATTACAAAGACCATGGGGCTGTAAACTTGGCAAAATAAAAATAAAACAACAAATGTTAACTTAAGTATTATGACACTAATGGATGATGGTAACTTGTAGGCAAAATTAAATCTATCAAGAAAAACTTTGATATTTTGTATGTGGTACTTTTTCAACGGTACTATTTAAGTACTGTAGGTGTGTAGTGTGTTGTTCATTGACACTTTCTTCTTCTCCTTAATGATCTGAGATATATAATATTCTAGGTGTCTATAACTATAATAGGTCACACACACCTTTTATATTTATCATTCTTATGGATCAGCAAAAGACAGTTTATGTTTATGGACAAGATACGTTTGAATCCATTAACGCTCGAGAGTGTTAATGTCTTCCTTCCTATAATTTGTAAGTTATTTTACTAATTTTCAAAATTTAAAAACAAATAGAATTATATATACTTACATGCTACTGTTTCCCCTCTTATTTTAACCAAAGACCAAAGCTTGCCTTTTAAAATTGCCCTAGGAACACACACATTTTAAAAATCCTTCATTAAAACACTAAAACATTACTGGACATAAAACATCTACTAAAACAAGAAACTGATTTTAGAATGTGCATAACCTAGTTCCCTTCCGAGAATATCGTATTTAAGATTGTATTATCATTGACTATTGAAAGGTACTGTATTATATTGTGATTACATTCCTTTACATGCATAGTAACAACGGAGATCATTAAAATCTAAATATATTTGTATACTTTTATAAATGTCTATATATTAACTATTAGTTTATTTTTTACTAAGATTCCTAATTTTGTATACGATTTATTGTCTGATTATGATTTCCTTAGATAAATTTAGGTTTATTATGATAGGTGTTTATATAACTTTCTTATTATAAGTTTCCTAGCGTGTTAACTTTGTATTTATTAATAAAATTTAGTTGTTTTGTAATTTGTTTAATTCGGGTTTATTTATATTTTCAACCAAAACATATCTCAAGAAGGGTCTGACTTAGGGGAGGTACGAATGAGGCATTAGTTCAAAATTCCTTTCCTCCGTGAACAGCGCTGTAGTAGAGAGTACTTTGGCAAAGAAGGTTTACTAATCGCAAAAATAGTTCTGTTCATAAAATAAAATTATAAATGCCTCAAATTCAATTTTATTATTTTTTAATTATAAAATTAAACTATCATAACCTAACCAAACTTGCTGATAATGAAATAATATAACAAAAGTTTATTAATAGAAAAAATAATTCTGTTTATTAAATAAAACTAGAAATTGCTCTACTAAAATTTTATAATGACTTAATAATAAAATTAAACTGTCATAACCGAACCAAACCAACCAAACTTGCTGATAATAAAAAAATCTTGGACAAAAAGTTAATGCCACGAGCGGGATTTGAACCCGGGACGTTCAGCATATCAGCCCGGCATGCTAACCATTAGACCACCGAGGCCGATGACTACTGAACGTTTTGTTACGGTAATGGCGTTCCCTCAGCTATTAAGAAACCCACAGCTGTCATCGTAGCCTCTTCTATACCTCCCCTGAGTAAATACCTCTCAAGAACAATGTCATCCAAAAATTGTTATTTCTATTCTGAGTATTTTCTGCTAAATTTTATGAAATTTAATATTTTAGACGCTATTCAGTACGTTGGGTGTCACCCTTCCAAAAAACTCTTATTATTTGTAAATTAAATGTTTAACACTGTTAGAATGAGTTTTATTTTAAATACATTTATTCCTATAATGTTTCTTTAGACAGAATAGACAGGGTTCACATTACTCCTAGGAGTATTTTGAATATTTCTTTGTTTGGTAAACAAATATACTAAAACCAGTAACAGCATTTCTTTCAATTTCTTTGCTTTCTCAAACATCCATGAGTTTATTGGACATCTTCCAGGCTTCCTGAGTCTCAAACATCCTCCTATCATGCAGGCATTATAACAAAACATATGTTCTCTTGTAACAGGCAGAAACTGATAGAAAATGTAATTATGTGTTCATGAATACAGTAGACTCCCTCTTATCCGGAATCCTTTTAACCTGACTACACTCGGCGGAAATGACATCTCTTTAACCGGAAATTTTTATCAGCACATTGGTTTAACCGGACTAGATCGGCAGGAAGTAGGGGGTACTGAAACGACTGTTCTCGTGGGAAAGATTTGAGACCAGTGATCACGTGTCTAAATACAATGCTCTCCTAAATTTAAGTCAAATACAGTATACTTAACAATACAGTATGCATTTAAACGGTCAGTTTTAACTAGTTTTTGGGCACGTCGGTTTAACCAGAAAACCCGTTATCCAGACTGGCCTCGGAGGAGGAGCCCGGATAAGAGGGAGTCTACTGTTTATTGAATTGAAATTCACCTTGGAAAATCTACAGTAGTTTCAGTCTCTATGAACACTGTACCTTTTTCTTACTACGACATCTAATGGTATTAAGGATCTTCATTATTTTGATTTTTAAAACCAAAGCTATAATTTTAGGGTTTAATAAACACGAAAAAGTACCAGTAATAATAATGTTGCGTCTATTGTTTTAAATTTCCGGTACAGCAGTTCCAAGTACTATTCATTTATAGTATGTGTCACTACTACTAGTCACGAAAGTCATCCATTTCGAGGCGAGATAGTGTTTTACATGCGAGTCAATTAAAACACATTAGCAAAATAATAGAAAAGATCTGAAAAATAAACATTCTACAGGCTAGGATAGAATACCTGTCCTGTCCAGTTATTGAAGCAAAATTCATTAATACTGGCACTGGCAAGTAGATTTCATGAAAATAACTCTTTCTTTCACAATAATTACCAATTTGGCTTCAGAAAAAAACATGAACACTCAAACAGCTCTTTAAAATTTTGTTAATAAAACCCTGTTGGCCTTGGATGAATCACAGTATGCAGCTGTTGTTTTCTGTGATTTTCTAAGGCCTAAGGCATTTTGTGTCAATCATGAACTTCTAATTCACAAACAAAATTGGAATAACAGGTAACATTCTTAAATGGTTTATAGTACAGGTAAAATAATACAAAAACACTCCATATAAACAACAAAATTTGTACATTCATGAAATTTCACCCGTGAGTTACTAATAATATGAGAAATGAAGATCCGATGAGTCCCCAAAATTTTGGGCGTCCTAAGGCCCTTTTTGGGGCCCTTTTTGATCCGAAGGGCCCTTGTTCCCGAATAATTTTGTTTTTACGTTTAAGGTCGAGTGAGGTGTGGTTTTCGATGGTTTTAGTTATTTTAAATCGATTGGGACTAGTTTTAAATGTATTAAACCACTCCATACAGGGTGTTTCGAAATATTATTACTTTTTACGATATTTAAACATTAATTCGTAAAGTACCTCCATGTTCTATATAAAAGTGGAATATTTAAAATAACTGTACCTCTTTACTATATAAGAGGGAAGGATCACAAGGAGTAAGAGAAAATATTAAATACCCCCGTCACAGCAAACCTGCAGACTAAGCGAATTTTCATTTGCCCGATTTTCAATTAACTAAATTAGCGTTGAGTTTAATGAATACTTAGGCTTGCAAGGGTTCCAAGGTTTGGGTTACAAGGAGGCTAATAAAGTGCGTTTATAGTAAAATATTAATAGCCTAGTACAAAACAAATAAATTTGACAAGTTTTATTAAGACATATCTATAAACAAACAAACAAATCATTTTACACTATTCTCCTTAAAAATAACATGGAATTTTAAATTTACAATTTTTGAATTCTATTCGTAACTAATACACTTACAAAACACGTTAATATACTAAATTATTTGTTTTCTTTAAGCCATTTAAATGCTCTAGAGAAAAATTAGGAAACTTTGTATTTTGAGGGTCAAAGATTACAAATTTATACCACATAAAACCCTGTTCCAAGGACCGATTATGCCGGTTTCGTTAAAATTGAACCAAAATTACTCGAGTTATTATGTTTACGGACACGTATATAACATGGATATATTATATATATATGTATATAAACACATATATAATATTTTGAGTTATCTAGCAACCCTCTAAACAGCAGCCCTCTAAAGAGTGCTTTAGGCTTCTGGGGACATCGAAATGAAAACGTAAATCGGTTTCGGGTCTATGTTTTACCATAAGACCTTCGGTAATAGCTTATTTCCTATATGGGAAGTTCGCTAAAAGGGGATGGATTAAGTTTTACAGTATAACATGATAACATAGGTTACTACGCAAAAATTTCAACTTTTAAGGGGGTGCAAATAATTTTGCAATGTGTTTTTCATGCAAATCTATTAAGACCAATTTCAAATTGGTATGTATTTTTCTTAGGTAGCTATTTAAGTTTTTTTTTATATATATATTTATTAAAAATTAAAACAATTGTATTTGTATAAAACCTTACATTAGGCCTACATATTAAATTGAAGTACTTAAACTAAAGCTATTTTTCTACAATTTCCGTAGTATCTCTCTTTACAATTTCATCATCACAATAATTATTCTCAGACGACTCATTAACAATTTTATTATTCTTAGCAACTTGTCCATCTTTACTGATTTTGTCCAAGTTGGTGTTCAAGCAGGATTCCCCTTTACAAACCTTGCATATTGCAGAACAGGCAACACCAATCTTAAAGCACGAACAATGTGGTGCAAAAACACCTTTCATACATACTGACGTTTGCAACATGTATCTTAATTCTCAAAATTATTTTCAATCAATACAAGTACGGTTGTCTTTCGTGGTTATGACGACCAGGACAACACTAAGACATCAGAGCAGCGTTGTCGGTACAAGTATTTTTGTCCTGAACAATGGGAACGAGGTTTATGGGGTAAAAATTGGGTTTTCTCATTTCCTTCACCCTCAAAACACAAAGTTTCCCAATTTTTCTCTAGAACATTTTAAATAGCTTAAAACAAATAATTTAGTATATTAACGTGTTTTTGTATGGTTATTAGTTACGGATAAAAATACTAAATTTGTAAATTTAAAATTCCCATGTTATTCTTATGTAGAATATTGTAAAATGATTTTGTTTGTTTTTTAATAGATATATCTTGATCAAACTTGTCAAATTTATTTGTTTTATACTAGGCTATTAATATTTTACTATAAACACATTTTATTAGCCTCCTTGTAGCAGCAAACCTAGGTAATCTTTATAACGCAATACTACTTTAGATTTGTACTACTTTAGCCCTGCCGATGGCTAACATCAAGGGAAAACACTATCACTGCCAGTCCCAGTAGTGCAATCCAAGATGTTAGCAAGAGTTGTCTGATGCTTCCCCGTAGTGCAGGGTGGGAAACGCCTCTTAGGTTGGCTTGGAACTTATGAGGTAGGCGAAAGGCAGGCAACTCGAGCCCGGTCCTCCAAGGGCTTGTGGGGGGTTGGGCGTTGGGCCAACAACCCGCCCCGGAAAACATACCAGTTACGAAACGTAGTTACCAAGCCTCGGAAAAGGAACATACCAAAAGGATAACGAATCAGATACGCACTAAGGACTTGAGAATAGGATCATGGAATACCAGAACTCTTGCTGTACCAGGTGGCTGTGACATCTTAGCAGAAGAGTTAAAGAATTATGAAATGGATATTGTAGCACTTCAAGAAATAAAATGGCCATATGCAGGAAAGATTAACACCAAAGATTATGTAATATACTATAGTGGGACTGAGGATGGAAGGCATTATGGAGGAGTGGGTTTTGCTGTAAATAGAAGAATAGCTGAAAGTGTGATAAGCTTTGCACCAAAGAATGAAAGAATATGCAATATTAGATTGAGAGGAAGATTCAAGAATATTTCACTGTTAAGTATATATGCACCAACAGAAGACTCTGATGATGAAGAGAAAGATTTCTTTTATGAAAATTTAGAAGAGGAATACAATAAGTTACCAAACTATGATGTCAAGTTAGTTATTGGGGATGCAAATGCAAAAGTGGGAAAAGAAGATATTTGGAAAGAAGTTGCAGGAAGTAATAGTTTACATGAAGAGACAAATGAAAATGGACTAAGACTGGTCACGTTTGCAAGCGCAGTGGACATGAAGGTTTGTAGCACAATGTTTCAAAGAAAAGACATTCATAAAGCAACCTGGATGTCACCAGACGGAAAAACCGAAAATCAGATCGATCATGTCCTGGTGGACAGCAGACACATCAGCAGTGTTACAAATATAAGAAGTGTCAGGGG